AGAGAGAGAGAGAAAGAGAGAGAGTTGTAAGGGAGATGGGGAGGAGGAGGACAAGGAAGAGGACGACGGGGAGGGAGGCAAAGATCAAGAAGAGGAGGAAGAGGCTTGAGGTTCGCTGAGGGAAAAAAAGCAAAAAAAAAAAAAAAAAAAAGACCTTACGTGGCAGGGCGATGGAGAGGAGGACGAGGAGGAAGAGGGTGATGGGGGGGAGGACAAGAAACAGGGCGACGAAGGGGAGGAGGAGGAAGATGGCGATGTGGAGGATGAGGAGGAGGAAGACGACGATGGGGAGGAGGAGGAGGAAGAGGGCGATGGGAAGGAGGACGACGAGAAAGAGGGCGATGGGGAGGAGGACGAAGATAAGGAGGAGGACGAAGTGGGCGATGGGGAGGAGGAGGAGGAGGAAGAGGGCGATGGGGAGGAGGAGGAGGAAGAGGGCGACGGGGAGGAGAGAGTCCACTTACCAGCGATGGCTGCAGCAGCAGGCCTCCACGATGATGGCGACACCAACACTTTGACGAAGAGGACACGGCGATGGCTACCTGCAGCAGTGATGGACGAGGGCACGACGAGGGCACGACGATGGCGACCTGCAGCAGCAATGGACGAGGCTACGACAATGGCGTCCTGCAGCAGCGATGGACGAAGGCACGAAGATGGCGACCTGTGAGAAGGCGACACACAGTGGAGGGGTGTCACGAGGCCGGAGGGTGGGCTTCTCGAAATCGAATTTGAAAAAAGGGGTCCCGAGCGATCTCCACCCCGCCCACTGCCCTGCACCCCGCGTTGGACCTGGACGGTTTACCCCAGCCCACCCCCAGGCCTACAGGGCCGAAACTGGCCCCCCAAGCCGCCTCGTTTTATCACGTACGCTGACCCCTAAAACGCGTATGTGCGTACACGTGCGCGGCACGTACGCGTGTACGTGCATACACGTATGCACGTATGCTGAGCACGCGTATGTGTACTCTGTGCTACCCATATATATATATATATATATATATATATATATATATACAGGGAAACCGGCGTTCGGGACGGGCCGAACGCCCGAACGTACGGGACCCCTTCGGAAGGCGTTCGGCCGTTCGGGCCGAACGCGGACCAAAAAAAAAAAAA